TACCGAGAGCTGTTGCTTGTGAGCCTGTGGAGGTTGAGAATTACGGAATGAGTTTGTGATTTAGAAAACAGAGAGAGGACAGTTTCTGGAAACACCTCCTTCAAAGGGCTGAAGATATAAGAATAGGCGGAGAAAGAATGAGCCACGTCTGCTGAGCAAGTCATGCATCTGACTAATTGAGAAAAATGAGATGAGGACTTTTCAAAGCATTCAGTGGATCCAGAAACCAGATCACTGAGGGAATTAGAGAGGAGATTCAGTACAGGAGTAGAAAGAGGTGGGAGGAAAGGACAATCAAATCTAGCCTTTACCCAGAAGATGCAATCAGAGAGGAAGATGGGAAGTGTCAGGAGTCTGTCACTTCCCTGAGGTTGATTGCATCTGGAGTCTGTCCAACGGGACAAAGGAAAGGGAACTCCCTACAAGATTATAAAGCTAAACCGAGTCAGATTCTAAACAGAACAGTCAACAGAGAACGTGCCATATTGTATCCTCCAGCCAGGAGCACGGAAGACTAAGTGTTCCGGGAGGAAGGGAGGGGCCTGCAGTCTCCGTGGGTGGAGCCAATGGCGTCCCCGGGGGGCCTTAAGAACTCAGCGCAGCTCCCAACCCAGCACAGAGTCCAGACGTCAGCCAACCGTGAGTACGTGAGCGCGTGGCGGGCCACAGGTGAGCCGGGTCTCAGGGAAGGGACCAGAATGAAGGGCAGAGCAGAGCGGGAGCAAGTGTGCCGGCCTCCAGCAAGCTGCAGACCAGGGACTGGGGTGACTGGGGGGCAGGGGGGTGCTCAGGGCCAGGGACTGGGGTGACTGGGGGGCGGGGGGGTGCTCAGGACCGTAATGCTGCAACTGCCCAAGTTTCAGTGATCTAGGCAGGTTCAGACAGGTCGGGAAGTGCTCACTGGCTTCATTTACAAAAGATTTTCTATAGACTGCAGAGTGGATAATTTAGCGGGTTCAGAGAAGGAGGTAGTAGGGGGAGGGGACAGCTCTGCCTGTGGGCGTGCACGTGACCCGACATCCGCGGCTCACCCAGACCCCACCGGAGGGAGGTGTGTGGGAAAGGCCCAGGGGCTTCTGCTGAGCACCTACTGTCATTGCGGTTCTGTTTTCTTAAACAGTGAACTTCGGTGAGGGGTTTATATATGTGTGTGATTACTTCAGGGAAGATCACTTAAATATTTGCTGACATTTTCATACGGACACATATACACACAATTTCTTTTTATGTTGTGATCAACTGTATGGAATTTGTTTTGGTGATAATCACAAGATTTATTAGGTGTTCCAGGGATTTTAACATGGTTTTATTCAATAGTAATCCCGTTTTGAGGACCATGTTAAGAATAACCAAATGTATAATGAAGCAACCCAATTCAGGGAAGAGAATTACAAACAGTGGAATTCAGTGGCACACCAAGTGCTTATTTAAAACCAAAACATCTAGGGGCGCCTGGGTGGCTTAGTCGGTTAAGCGTCCGACTTTCGCCCAGGTCATGATCTCGCGGTTGGTGGGTTCGAGCCCCGCGTCGGGCTCTGTGCTGACTGCCAGCTCGGAGCCTGGGGCCTATTTCAGAGTCTGTATCTCCCTCTCTCTCTGACGACCCTCCCCCGCTCACGCTGTCTCTCTCTCTCTCTCTCCTAGAAATAAATAAAACATTAAAAAACAAAACAAAACATCTAAAAGGTTGATCTAGGTTTGTATTTATTCTTACAAATAAATAGGGAAGATGAGGATGGTTACCGTTGTTCCAGGTGTGCCTGGAAGGGCGGGGGATTAAGCAACCGGCCGCAGATGACACAGGAGGAATCAAACCCTCACAACATCCAGGCAGCTAGACCTTTCCTCAGCCTCAGTCTGGAGATTTCTGTGGGATTGGAGGAGTGGGGCCAGGGAGGGGTGGGGTAGGGTGGAGGTGGGCGGATTGGGATCTCAGCAGACAGGATTGCGGGGACCACAGGGCTTTGAGATGCAGGGAAAGCTCAAAAGAGGAAGTTGGAGAAGTTTCCTTGGCTAGAATGGGGAAGATTAGCCTTTAAGAATTAAAGTTTTATGGGGCGCCTGGGTAGCTCAGTTGGTTGAGGATCCAAGTTCGGTTCAGGTCATGATCCCCTGGTTCATGGGTTTGAGCCCCGCCACTGGCTCTGTTGACAGCACAGAGCCTCAAGCCCGCCTCAGATTCTATGTCTCCCTTTCTCTCTCTGTCCCTCCCTTGCTTGCACTCTGTCTCTCTCTCCCTCTATCAAAAATAAATAAACATTAATAAAGATTTTTTTAAGAATAAAAGATTTAATTATAGAATGGCTCACTTACCTATAATAGTAGGAAAAAATTATAATGAATTCCCATGTACCAGGACACCCCTGTGTACAATTATAAATTAATTTCCAATCTACCTATCATCCGACCATCTCCCCTGTGCTATCAACTTGAGGCAAATCCCTAGGCATCTTCAGATTTCATCTGCAGACAACTCCTTGTATATCACCTAGAAGATCTTTTTTTAATGATGTGTAATACTATTATTGTCACTTAAAATAATTAGCATGTTTTTATGAGATATCCACCTTGCCAAGTTGAATTCTATTTTTATCCGGTGTTTTTTAATGTTGTTTTTTTTTAATTTTTTTTTTAATGTTTATTTTTGAGAGAGGGAGAGAGAGAGAGAGACAGTGCGAGAAGGGGAGTGGCAGAGAGAGAGGGAGACACAGAATCTGAAGCAGGCTCCAGGCTCTGAGCAAACTCAACGGGCTGCAAGATCAGGACCTGAGTCCGATGCTTAACTGACTGAGCCACCCAGGTGCCCCTTTATACTGTGTTTTAAATTGAAGACAAATTATGTCAATAAGTTGTAAATGGTTGATATGTCTTTGAAGTCTGCTTTAATCTCTTAAGTTTCCCTAGGAGACAGACTGAAGGGATCTGACTCTGGATGAGGGGAGAGTAAGGGCTGCAGCTCAAAGAAGAAAGGCTGGCTTGGCTGGGAGTGGGCATTCGCACATTGAAAACAATGGCTAGCCTTTTAAAAAAATGTTTTCATATAGAGCATGCTACGCTTATAAAATAGAAAAATAGCATAATGAACCCAATGCACCAGTTTCCTGGGGCTCCATAACCAAATACCACACGCCAATTGACTCAAACAACAAAAATGTGTTTTGTCACAATTCTGGAGGCTGGAGGCTGAAGATCAAAATGGCATCAGGTTTGTTTTCTCTTGAGGCCTCGCTGGTTTACAGATGGCCTCCTACTCATCTGGCCTTTCCTGTGTGCCTGCCCATGTCTGTATCTCTTCCACCTGTAAGGACACTAGTCATATTGTGTTAGGCCTCACCTGACCAGCCTCATGGTTAACTTAATCATTGCTTTATAGACCTTGCCACAAAGTAGGGTTACAGGGGTGCCTGCCTGGCTCAGTCAGAAGAATGTGTGATTCTTGATCTCGGGGTCATGAATTCAAGCCCCACATTGGGTGTAGAGATTACTTAAAAATAAACAAATAAGCTTTAAAAAAAGATGGCATAGGTGCGCCTGGGTGGCTTGGTCAGTTAAGCGACCGACTTTCGCTTAGGTCATGATCTCGCAGTTCATGGGTTCGAACCCCGCGTCGGGCTCTGTGCTGACTGCCAGCTCAGAGCCTGGAGCCTGTTTCAGAGTCTGTCACTCCCTCTCTCTCTGACCCTCCCCTGCTCACGCTGTCTCTCTCTCTCCTAGAAATAAAATATTAAAAAAAAAAAAAAAAAAGATGGCATTATTTGAAAAAGATAGGATCCAGTCTGAGGTACTGGGAATTAGGGCAGAAACATCAATTGGGGAGGGCACAGTTCAGTCAACATCTCATGTATCCGTCCAGTAAATTATGCCCCTACTCTTCTCTACTCCTCATTATTATGAAGCAAAGCCTAGATATCATAGGGTTTATATGTAAATTTAAACTATGTGTCATCCAAGTATATATAGCCTCTTCACTAACAAAACCATATTATTCCCCTTTTTTAAAATCATCAAATATCCACTAAGCCAAATAACTACAATTATCTTAAAAAATTTTTAATGTTTTATTTATTTTTGAGAGAGAGAAAAAGAGAGAGACATCATGAGAGAGAGGGAGCCACAGAATCTGAAGCATGCTCCAGTCTCTGAGCTGTCAGCACAGAGCCTGTTGGGGGCTTGAACTCACTAGCTGTGAGATTGTGACCTGAACCAAAGTAGGACTCTCAACCTACTGAGCCACCCAGGTGCCCCATTTATAAAAAATTTTAAAAAAATGTTTTTAACATTTTATTTATTTCTGAGAGAGAGAGAGAGAGACAGCATGAGCAGGGGAGGGTCAGAGAGAGAAGGAGACACAGAATCTGAAACAGACTCCAGGCTCTGAGCTAACTGTCAGCACAGAGCCAAACGCAGGGCTCGAACCCACCAACCATGAGATCATGACCTGAGCCAAAGTCAGTCGCCCAACTGACTGAGCCACCCAGGTGCCCCTAAAAATTTTTTTTTATGTATCTGAGTACAGAGAATAAACCTGGTAAAATATCACCAATGATATATATGCTCTTTATCTTTTTAATATATATTCTTTTTTTCTCATTATTCTCTTGAAGGAACCTGGTGAATTGTCCCATAGAGCTGCTCGCATCTGGACTTTGCTAACTGTGTCCCTGTGTCGTTGATTTCCATTGCTACCTGGAGTTGTGGCTCTTTCCTAAGAAGAGGATTACATAGCAAGCTTCAATTTCCAGCCACCAAGTAAAGTAAAGCCAGAAGCAGAGATTGACTTGGGGCTGTCACTCTTGGCAGCCATTGCAGAGCTGAAGGGAAAGGAACGGACACAGGCTTGAGTGGCTGCAGTCGGCTGCACACTCGGGAAACCTGCACCTCCAGGCAGCTTTTGCAGAACAGGCAGAAGGCTGAAGAGTCATCAGCTGCCGACTTTTCCAGCTCCCGGACAACCAGACATTTCTAAGGGAGTTTCCCGACACAGACACCCTCCCTGCACCATGGCCTCTGCAGCCTCCCTGGCTGAGCTCCACGCGGAGGCCAGCTGCCCCATCTGCCTGGGTCCCCTGACAGACCCAGTGACCATCGCCTGTGGGCACAACTTCTGTGTCGGCTGCATCGGGCAGCGCTGGGAAGGTCTAGAGCACATCCTCCCCTGTCCCGTGTGCCTCCACCACTGCCCCGACAGGCACTTCCGGAGGAACACGCAGCTACGTCACGTGATTGGTTTGGTCAGGCAGCTTCCCGGCGCCAGGAGCAAGAGGAAGGTGCAGGACGAAAGGCCCCTGTGTGAGCGGCACAATCAGGCCCTGGCCCTGTTCTGTGAAAAGGACCTGGAGCTGCTGTGTCCCCAGTGCAGGGTCTCCTCCGACCACCAGGACCACCCCCTCATCCCCATGGAGCAGGCTGCGGCTGGTCACAGGAAGAAGCTCAAAAGCTACATGGAGCCCCTGATGAAGCAGGTTGAGGATGCTGAAAAGGTGTTAAAAATGCAAGTCTCAAAACTATTTCAGTTGAGATGGAAGCTGGAAAATCGAAGATCCAAACTGCGCTCTGAATTTGAACAATTTAGGCATTTCTTGGGCAAGGAGCAGGGTACGATTCATATTAGGTTGCTAATTGAAGAGAATCGTGTTCAAGAAAAACTAATAGAAAACAAAAACCAGTTGTCAGACTACCTTTCCACACTCAGGAGTCTGCTTAGTGAAATAACCAAGAAGCGTCTGCAGACAGACCTAGATTTACTGACCGGCATTGAAAGTCTTCACAACATGTATGAACAGCTAGAGACCCCAGCAGTCTTTTCATATAAGTTAAGGAAGGAGATCTGCAGTCTCCCCCCACAATATTTTGGGCTGCAGAAAACGATCAGCACATTTCAGGTAGATTTGACCCTCGATCCCCAAACTGCTCATCACAATCTTCTTATCTCAGAAGATAGGAAGACCATCACATTTCAAAAGATGAAGCCAAGTGGTGCTAATAATCCCCGGACATTTACTTCTCACCCAGCTGTCCTGAGTTGTGAGGGATTTGCTGCTGGCAGGCATTTTTGGCAGGTAGAAATCGGTGGCTTCGGCGAATGGTCCATGGGCGTGTGTAAGGAGTCTTTCCCCAGAAATGTTCTGATAGCTCCATCGGCAAACACTGGCTGCTGGCAAATTCAGTTCTGGACCAGTACATGCGGCACAGAAGACTCAGCAAACCTCAGGCACATCGGCATTTTTCTGGACTATGAGTTAGGAGAAGTTTCGTTTTACAATTTGGGTAATAATTCACACTTATATACATTCAGTGAATCTTTTGCAGAAAAGCTTATGCCTTATTTTTCTATTGGGCCTTCTTCAAAATCGCTTACAGTAAGTATAGTCAAAGATGAATCCTGAGCCACCTTGTAAATCATTCTATCTGTTCCATTATCTCCCTGTGTTAAATGGAAAGTGCTTGTATTAAAGAGTCTGAGTTCATTTTCGATGTTTGAAGCTGATGTCTTTTAACCCTCACCCCTCTGTCTTCACCCTCTGCCCCACACCTGGATAAGCTGTTAGGACAGACTGGATGTTCCTTCATTGGACTTGGTGGGGTGGTTCTAACCAAGAAAGGACCTGCTGCACAGGCTCTTACCCCCAGTGCTTCCCCTAAACCACCAAAAGACCCCCTAATGAGTCATCTTTGTCCCTTCTCTCAAGCCATTTTGGATTGGTAGCCATGACACTCTCCACATGAAGCCTCAGTGTGTGTGTGAGTAATAAACATTTGATACCCACTTGGTGTGTTTGTGGTATAGGAGCCAGGGCAAGCCATCCCAAAATATACCAAAGGCACGTTAGTTATTTCACATTAAAGCTCCTTAGGGGCCCCTGGGTGGCTCAATTGGACTCCCAGTTTCAGCTCAGGTCATGATCCCAGGGTCATGGGATTGAGCCCCATGTCAGGCTCTGAGCTGATTGTGGAGACTGCTTATGATTCTCTCCCTCTCCTTATCTCTCTCTCTCTCTCTCCCCTCTCTCTATGCCCCCTCCCCCACTTGCATTCTCTCTCTAAAACACACAAAAAGGGGCGGGAGCACCTGGGTGACTCAGTCGGTTAAGCATCTGACTTGGCTCAGGACATGATCTCACGGTTTGAGAACTTGAGCCTTGCTCTAGATGAGCACAAGCCCTACTCGGGCTCTGCACTTTCTCTCTCTCTCTCCCTTTCTCTCCTCACCTTGCTCACTTGTGCGCTAGCTCTCTCTCTCAAAAATAAATAGCCAATTAAAACACAGCCATGCAAGAAGGACATTTACACCTTCCTGTGCCCCTGAAAGCAGGAAATTAATCTCCCATATAAAAGATGCCCTCCCATCCCTGTACCCAGAGATAATGGGAAATTTAGAGCCAAAGAGGCTGTATAAAGAACACTTGCTGCTTTTCACTAATTTACTACCTCAACCCAAATTCTGTTTAGAATTTCTTACTGATTAAACTCCCAAATATAAGTTTTCTTTGTCCTGTCAACTCCTCAAAAAGTTATTTATTTATTTCTGTTAAATGTTTATTTTTGGGAGAGAGAAAAGCCCAAGCAGAGGAGGGGCAGAGAGACAGACAGACAGAGGATCCAAAGTGGGTTCTGTGCTGACCGCAGAGAGCCCGATTTGGGGCTGGAACTCACAAACTGCGAGATCATCACCTGAGCCCAAGTCAGAGGCTCAACCTACTGAGCCACCAAGGTGCCCGTTTATTTTTTTTTATTTTTTTAAGTTTATTTGTTTATTTTGAGACAGAGTGAGCAGGAGAAGGGAAGAGAGGGAGGGAGAGAGAGAATCCCAAGCTGCACTGTTAGTATAGACCCCAATGAGGGGCTTGAACCCACGAACCATGAGATCATGACCTGAGCCAAAATCAGAAGTTGGATGCTTAACTGACTGAGCCACTCAGGTGCTCCCAACTCCTCACAAATTTATTGCCTTTTTGTCAAAAATGTATGAAGAACACCTGCTTTCACCATTTCTTTGGGTTTCATTTTTACTATTGGGCCTCCATGTGCATATAATAAAACTTGGTTTTTTCTCTTCTGTTAATCTGTCTCATGTAAGTTCAATTCTTCGTCCAGCTGAAAGACGTTGAGGGTAGAGACAACTTTTTTCCTTCCCTTTAGTGGCATCAGCAGCCTTGATGTTAAAGCTAAATTTTGAGGGATGGAGTGGGGTTCTGCCTATGTGCAGTGATTGTAACTATATTCAGAATATTATGTAATCCTGGGTTAATTCTTGGGATACTCCGATCCCAAGATCCATGGTATATTAGTTTTTTATTTTCCAACTACCATAAGACATTTATCCTTTGTTTTCCAAAATCATAATATTGTTTTTGTGATTCCCCATTTCTCCTGGGAAAGGTGTGGGAATGTATTGTAATTGTTTTTGCATTTCTAATATTTATAAATCAGAGTATTACACTACTGGTTCTTAAAAAAAAAAAAAACCTCTACCACAAATATGTCCCATTTGTCTTTATATTGAAAAGGCAGTGAATGTTTTAAACTGATAGAAGAAACAGGTCTACATACGCAAATATCAAAAACATTTCTAGATATACTTAACTTTTAAAGCAAAGGACATAGCATGTTTGTATCATAACATAAATGAAAAAACAAAAATTTCTATGCTTATATATTTGTACATTAATAGTATGCTCTTGAAAAGATACAGAAAAAACTTATGAATCATAATGCTCAGGCGCCTGATGACTTGGGTTGAGGAAGCAATTTGCTGTATCTTATTCCTTGAATGGATAGCCATCCACATTGAGTAAGTCCATAAATTATATAGCTTTCGTGTCTCCATTCTCTGGACTGTCAGTTCTCTGCCGGTGGAGACTCCAGATGGGATCTCTCCACTCCAGGCTTCTGGTTTAGGGCCTCACAGGTAGTGAGTGCTTGTAAAAAGTCACATGCATGAGGTACTAAAAATGAGATGCCTAGCTGGTATTTATGAGATCGGGTTAACAATACACCTCTGATAGCTTTCAGCCTCTGTGTGAATAAAGTCACCACGAGCAATAGGTAGAACATATCAGAGTTTGCTGTCTATCCTAACCAAGAGGTTTTGCTGTTAAGCACACTGGGAAACCCGCATTGGCTTCCACACGCTGCTCGCAAAAATATCCATGGGGTGTGACAGAGGGTGTAACTGTCTGTTGCAGCTGTTCTGCCTAGGAGACTTGGGATAAGGAAAGAAAAGTGTCAACTGAGAAAAGAGCCAGGAAAAGAAACCTGGGGATCACCCTCTTCTGAGAGGGGAAAAGTTAACTGTCAGACTGCAAGGTACTGAGACCAGTCAGCAAGATCAAGTTCGTGAAAGATAAAAAAAAAAAAAAAACCCAAAAAACAAAACCCTAAAGTTTTGGATAGAAACGACTTAAGTGTTGAACACCAGTTTACTGGTAACATTTGGACATAGTTTTGGAGCAGTGGAATAGGTGCTGACAGATGGCTTCTTGTTAAGAAAGTAGGAGATAAAGGGGCTCCTGGGTGGCTCAGTCGGTTGAGCATCCGACTTTGGCTCAGGTCATGATCGTGATCACAGTTTGTGGGTTCGAGCTCCACTTTGGGCTCTGTGCTGACAGTTCAGAGCCTGGAGGCTGTCTTCCAATTCTGTGTCTCCCTCTTTCTCTGACCCTGCCCTGCTCACACTGTCTCTCTCTCTCTCTCAAAAATAAATAAAACATTTAAAAAAGAAGAAGAAGAAAGTAGGAGATAGGGCGCCAGGGTGCTTTAGTTGGTTGAGGGCCTGACTTTGGCTCAGGGCATCATCTCATGGTTCGTGAGTTCGAGCCCCGTATCAGGCTCTGTGCTGACAGCTGGGAACCTGGAGCCTGCTTCAGATTCTGGGTCTCCCTCCCTCTCTCTCAAAAATAAACATTAAAATATTTTTTTTTAAAAAAAGGAAGAGACCAAAAAATGATTCTTTAAGTCTTTTGGTCTAGAAAATATATTTGATGTGGGAATAATAATATATTTTTAAGAGAGTGTCATGAGTAATATCTAATACGCTCAGGTTTCTGCATATCAAGACACAACCATTGCATCTAGTTTCTCTACCTTATCACAGATGAAAGAATTTATCACTCAAAGTAGTAATAGCTTATATGTCATTTGTTCATTCCAAGTGCCAGGTGGAGGATGTGAGGGCGATCTGGCTGCCACATCTGTCACCCCATTGATCGCCAGGGTTGATTCGGCTGATCTGGCTGGCTAGGCGGGCGGGTGTCCCCTTCCTCCCTCACCGCTCCATGTTCGTCCCTCCAGAAGCTGCGCGCTCCGTCAGTTGAAGAGGATGACCTTCCCCGATAGAGGAAGACCATTCTTCGGTCAAGCGGTCAAGCGTATATGAGTAGCTGCGCTCCCCTGCTAGAACCTCCAAACAAGCTCTCAAGAGCCAGGTGGTGTTTTAAGTACCTGGTTTGTATTAAATTACTTCATTTTCGCTGCATTAATATTATAGCCATTGCCTGGCTAGCTCAGTTGGTAGAGCATGAGACTCTTAATATTATGGCCTTCGTACAGCCAGCTGTGAACTCAATCATCTTGTAAGTGGTGTATCTAACCCCAACAATCTGGTTAAAGAGCTTAGGTCTTCCACCAAGTGATGTAGCTTCTTGACTGTTACTCCCTTAAGAGTGAACCAGAAATAGTGTCTGTGCTTGTGTGAGGGTATGCACGTGTGGGTGTATTTATACTGTTTTGGAAAGCAACAGGAATAGATTCATGTATAACACATTGGTTTCTTTTTCTGATTGAAGGATAAACAAGAAAGATCTTTTGGCAATTGAGTCGTATCAGAATATTTAAAAAGGCCACATGCCTTGCCTTTCTTTCTTCCTTTGTCAAAATCCTTTTGTGATTTCATCTAGTCTAATTGCTTTACTTTGTATTGTGATTCCTACTCACTGCCTCTAGCTAAGACTTACCCCATAAATGTGAGGATTTCCAACTGGGTTCTGAAATTCTCTGCTTGGATTTCTCAATGAAACCCAGTGTAATAGCCCCGTGTGACCAATATTTAACTTCAATCTCTCCCCAAACCTACTCTTCTGTAGTGTTTTCCTACCTCTGGATGGCAACTCAAATCACCCAAATGTCCAAACCATGAACATGGAGCCTCCTGGCACTCCCTCATGCTCCATAGGCAATCAATCATCAGTTTGTATATATCTGCTTTGTAATCCACTGGTGTCAGTCTAGATCAGGTCTAAGCATCCTTCATCTGCACTGCTACAGTAGCCTCGACCTGGCCTCCCGACATCCTCATTTCACCAAACCCCTAGGAAAAAAGCCAACAGAAAAGCTAAGGAGGCCAATCTCCTTGGTTTGGAATAGGAACCCTCTGATCTTTGCTTGTTTC